CTCTCTCTCTCCCTCTCCCTCTCTCTTTCTCTCTCTCTCTCTCTCTCTCTCTCTTTTGTGTCTGCATTGAGATTGAAAGACAGATGATTATATATTTAAATATGAACTATGTGTTCTACTTTTCTTTTATTTAATTTTTATTTCTTTGGTTTTCTTTTCCATCCATCATCAAGCCCCCAGAGCCAAAGTCATCAGGATGGGACAAGCGTGGGGACATTTGTACTGCCCATCGTAGCATATGGAGTAGAGACTTCACCCCATCCAAGGCTCTACCTCCAGTCCCAAGCATCTTGGGCTCAGAGAAGCAGAGTACTCTTGGAAAGGAATTATTAGTATCTTCTACGCCAGTCCTTAAGAGAAAGTTTAAACCAGGTGATAATGTACATCTGTGTGTTTGTTCATTACTTTGGGGGAGAAGTACTTTAAAAACAGTTTCATGATCTTCAAAAATAAGGTGAATTAATGACAAATCACATTTTTCACAGAACCGGTACCAGATGATGATGGTTTTCCCACTGAAGATGAACTGCAAGATCTATATGCTCTGCCTGCTAAACGTTTGAAGGAAGAAGCACCAGTTGACAGTAACAGTGCTGATGAAGACATGGATGGTAAAACAGCCTTGGATCATTTATCTGAAGGACTTGATTTTGAGGAAGAAAAAGAAAAAGTATCCATTAAAGAGGAAGTAGGAGATTTGTCACCAGAACTGAAAACTGTAAGCCCTTCAGCTAAGAGCAGTAGGTCCAAAAATCCATTTGCTAAGGCAAAGTCTCCTGTTAAACCTGCTGGGCAATTCAGTGCGTTAAAGAGATTTAGCAAAATAAGGAAATCATTGGAGAATTCAAACACTATTGTGCAGAGCAGGTAAGCAATATGTAATTTGCATTTTTATCAGTCTCATTATATACTTAGTTGTTTTTTTATAGGAGTTGAATATGTAGGTGACAGTACAGAGAAAGGTCTTGTACATTTGACCTATGTTTTATGGTTATTAATTCATTACATTTACCATATTTTTTAATAATCCATTTCCCTATAATTTTCAGGTACTTTGCCAAGGCAGTGCCAAGTGCCACAAGTAATGAAGATGAAAAGAAAAGTGAGGAAAAAGAAAAGCCTGAACCCCAAGCAACAGATGAGGAAGTAAGAGAGGATCAGAAAGTTAAATTAGAAAGTGAATTACATGTTAAAATTGAAGATGAACAGAAAGACAAAATACCCAGTGAATCTCAAGTTAAAGCTCCTTTGTCTCCTGTCATGAACAATATTCAGAAAAATAACAAAAACAGCACATTCAGGTGGGGGAAACTGACAGATAAGTTTGGATTTAAAGACAAAGTCAAGATAGAGAGCAGCCCGTCAACAAAGTACACTTTCAAGGCCGTCGCTAAAATACCAAGCACAAGAGAAACTGATGAGAGTAAGGAAAATGTCCTCAGTCTGTCCCAGAATTCAGATTCTAGGGAACTGCCACTTTCTCAGAGCAGTTTAATGTCTGAAGTCTCAACAGTCAGTGATGTAGGCTCAATAGATAATGAATCATTTGGCCTAACACCTACTCCAGAAATATCAACCATGAGTGATAAGGATTCAGAAGTTGCAAGTCCTTCCTCAGTAACCAGTACAATGGTATGTATTGCTATTACTGTACATTTTGTAAAACCTATTCATTATATTTGATACTTGAAAACTGAGGTATGCATTCTGTCCCACTGGAAACCATAGTTATTAAGAAAATGGAAACATTTAGGTATGCATACACATACATATACATGAGATATCCTGTAGATGAGGAGATTTCAATATCTCCCCCTATTTCTAATATCCTAGGCATTCCCTAGGATATTAATTTATTTCTCCCTTCTGTGATAATTCCCCACCCCAATCCTTTGGTTGTTGTCATGGAGGGGGCTTAGGAGACCGTTAGAAAGGCCCAATGTAGGGGACCACTCATACCTAGGACCATATCAACTAATTTTGCATGGTCTTTTCTTCTCCCCTTTCCTTTTCCATTCACCTGCTGTCCACTTCCAAAGGTGTGAGAGCCTTGCTGAAAGGATGAAAGGCTTTGTCTCAGTCATGAACAGCCTCCGGGAGCCATGGACACGGTATTCCCTCGGTTAACCTACTAATGACAGGTGTCCCACATATGAGACACCCGAAAAAATAAACATTGCTGGGCGCCCACCAGTGTGACGCTATATCAGGGCTCGCACTCTAACGTAGCAGGCAGAGTCCGGGCTAGGCTGGCGCACCAATTTTGTAGCAGCCCGTAATCTTTTATTTTCGGTTTCAAAATATACTGGCGTTAATGGGTCAATAGCATAGCCCTTACCCCTTACAGGGACACTGAGGGGTAGACCGTTTCCTTTTCCCACATATTTCAGGCATGCCATGGCCAGTGATGAAGATTTTTTTACCCTTATTAGGGGCATTATGGGTTGCCCCTTCATTGACTAGCCTATCTAAATTTGATTTCAATGGTTTCCCAACCCCTGCCTCTCCTTTGACCACAGCTCTGACTACTGATACTCTTTGATGTTTATTCACAGCTCTGTCCATTCCGAACCACCCACTCAGACCATGACTGAACCTTCAGAATGCCCCGTTTCCTCTCTTCCAAAATTACCCTTTCCATCTTCTACTGGATAGTCTTCTATATTGTCAACCCCCTCCCCTCTTTTTACTACACTTCATCCTTATTGTCCTCCTTCCCACAATACTACCTCACTCCACACTACCCCATCTTCCTCCCACCTTTGTTCTTCTACTGCTTCGACCCTTTGAGTACTCTTTTTGGCCCAGCCAAGGGGGATCAATTCTTTGTGATTCCTTTTGCAGTTGTTCTGATCATTCATGCCTTGTCACAGCTTGTGTTCTATCTACGCTAACTGACCTCACTGGCAAATCAATTCCTGCCCAACCTCACTTTCTTAATACTTGTACTGGGATTGTTTGTCTCCCTAATAGATTGTCCTATCTATAACAAGAACTGGTCAGACTGCAAGAATGACTTTCTTGCTTGCCTTGTTGACTGTGATGCAGTGGCTAATATTTGCCTACACCAATGTTGCTAATATTAGCTTCTGTAGACATGACCTCCCCCATGTAATTTATATTGGAGTGTCCTGCCCTCTCTGACCATATTGATCTCTTCCTCATTAATGTCAGCAATGTTGGCATTTTGGCCAAACGCTGTTGCTCCACAGCCTGTTGCCCTCTATGTGCCCAACCTGGTCATGACCATGCAAATTGTTCTGCACAGTCATGTACATGCAAATTGCTCTGCACAGTCATGTACATGTCCCAGTTGTGGTGGTCCCTGTAATGTACTTTATAGAAGCTGCCCTACCTCGAATCCGAAGTAGCAGTTCAGAGATTCAAACTAGGCCTCACTCAACATGGGGCCAGACAGAAAGCACAGCAACAAGGTCTTTCTCTACCTATTTCAAAACTGTCCTCTGCTCTGCTCTGCTACCCTCCCATTTCAAGATGTCTCAACATCTCTCCCAGCATCTCTTCCCTATACCCCAAACTATCCTATCTGTATTCCCCATCTTCCAGTCAAAATCAGGGTAATTTGATCTCTACCAATTCCTCTACCCCTCCTCCTTCTCACTTTACCTTATGCACCAGGCAATTTAAACATTCCACTCCATCTCCTATCACATCCTCCTCTACACCCCCCTCTTCCTCTACTCCTTAGACATCAATCCCCTCTTCACCTCCTCACAAAAGAACCTTTGTTTCTCAGATCTTCCCCACCCAACTCCCCTCCAGAAACTCTTAAAGACATCCAAAACTTCTTAAACATGACAAGAGATTGCTCTGCTCCCTCATCCCCCCTCCAATCTCTCTATTCCTATTCCCTCTACATTCAAAGTACTTACTGATATTCATCCTCCTCTTCAAGTTTCCCTGCCCCCCTTCCTCCCGCTCTCTCCCAACACATCCTATCTTCTCCTTCGTGAGTGCACCAATCACTCTTCATTCCCCATGCTCCTTATTTCCCCCACCTGGATGCTCATGTGAATACCTTCTGTCACAACAGTGTTTATCTTTGGATCCCTCCCCTCCTGACATTCTTCCTGATGCTTCACCACTTTCCCCAGTCAGCATATCTGAATACCTGGATTCTTCTCCTACTTTTTCAGCAGCCATCGCCACCCCTTTTACCTGTCGATTGTTTCATAATGGCTCTTTTGCTAGTTTTCCTTAAATAATGTTCCTCTTCCTTCCTCAGCCACAGATACTCTACATTTCATCCAATTGCTCTAAGCCCTTAACCTTTTCCTCTTTTCACTAATCTCTGCTTTACTTCATTTGCTCCTCCTCTACCCTTTTCACTACCGTATGTACTATCCAATAACACTATAACCTTTGACATCTAACATTATATCCAAATCTCATTTTTACCACAATACTTTAGCATAAGGCTGTATGACCTTTGATGTCTAACACATTTATTTGTTCGTAACCTTAAACCTTTCAGCTATAATTAAAAAAAATAAAAAAATAAAAAAATAAAATGCAGAATAAGGCAGTAGTGCATATTTGTTCATTTTTTCCAATGATAAGCATTCTGACCCAGCCTTAATTAATGTAATTAAACTGATTTCCCAAAATAGTACTGAAATACTATCACTAAAAACATAAAAATAAGGTTTTACAATTAACACAAATTTGATGTAAATTATTTCAGAATGGTAGGATATGCACTTGTCCCATAGAGCAAGTTATGCCATAGATAGTTGAAATAGTTGATTAAGGACTTTTTCTTTGAAAGTTAGTGTGAGAGTTCACAGGTCTTGGAACATGTAAATATGTAAAACATCCTGGGTACACACTTTTCAGAACTTAATATTTATCTGCTAATTTAGAATCATCAGTGCTAATGTATGCATTTATATTACTGACTTATACTTCTAGAAAGTAGAATTTCTGGCAAGATTAATGCTAGCTGATTTTGATGCCCTTGCACACCATATTTAATTTTTTATTCATTCATTCTTTTTACAGCCCAGTCAAAAGACACTTCTGTCCAACAAAAGTGCACAGAATAAAGGAAGAGCAGTTGGTCTATCCCGTCCCAGTGGTGCAAACAAGAAAAATACAGATAAGAAACAGTTAAGCTTGAAGGATATGTTTGGCTTTAAAAAGTGAGTGTTCTGTGTATGGTTTCTCTCCTTTCCCCTTCCCTTCTTTTTCCCATCCTTTCCATTTCCCTATATCACTATTTTGAATATCAGGAACATGTTCCATTTTTATTACTGAAATCTTCTAAATCAGTTGATTCTGTGTGTGCCATGCCAGCTGTGAGTTGTTTGTTGTCTTAGACAGCTCCAAAAGTATTTAGTTACCAGTGAGCCAATTACAACTACTACCTTAGCTTATATTGTTGTTAGCAATATCAATTACATTGTAATAATTATAATGTTTATAATAATAACAGCATGGATATTGATAGCAATATAGCAATAATTGTTACCTCTTCTAACAAGGCCAAGAGAGAAAGGAAAGTAAGAAAATTATAAAGTAGTGCTTGCATCCGAGTTCAGATTTTGATCATCTTGAGAACCAAGCATTGTGTAAATTTTACCCTAAGGAACTGATCCAATCCAAACATGACATTTTGAGCAATTACTAAATCAGCCATTGTTAATCTAATCTTTACCATGTTAAACTTTCTAGGGATGCTCCCAAGCTTCACTGAGCAAAACCTTGAAGCTACAGCAGCAGTGACAAGAAATATGGAAGACATTGATGTTGAACTCCTTTCACCATCCCCAAGATTTTAATAGGAAGTAGAGATTTGTTAATAACAGGTAATCATTGTTATATCACAGCACATTTTATATTTTGTTTATACAGTATTTAATACATTCCAACATTGTTGAAGAAAGTTCACATTTACAAACATTTAATTCAGGGATGACAGTCTTGCTTACAGTACAAATGAATATTGACAATTGTGAAACATTGTCAGAAACAGTTGAACAAATATCTTATTTTTATTTTGTATGTTTGTGGAAGTTCAAAAATGATACAGTGGTACCTGTCAGTCCTAGAATTATTTATAAAATGCACCTCTCTCTTGTATTGTAAAATTTTAAGCAGGCTTTCTCAAAAAATATAGGATTTTTTTTTTTTTTTTTTTTTTTTTTTTTTTTTTTTATAGTGTTTTGACAATTGGCTTATTAACTTTTAATGGGTTATCCATAGTTATCAACTTTTCAAAGATGGTAAAACAATGTCTTTGCTGACACTCCCCATGAAAGAGTGCATCCTGAAATGTAGGTCAAAGGAAAGGTTTTACCAAGTTTTGAAATTGTAGAAAACTATGAATGACCCTACTTATGTAATAGACCTTTAAAGAAATATCACAAAGATTGCTTTATAAAAATATTTTGTGCTGCACTGGTATGATCACCCATTTTATGGTTAACGACCAGCTGCAGATACAGGGATAATAAATGTAAAAATCTAGAAAATTCTATTTATTTTCAATACAATTACAAAAATTGTGCATTAAGTACAGCAATATGCTAGCCATTAGACCAATGCTTGCTTTTGTGTAATATGGCCGCTTTGCCCTGACCTAGTTCATAGAGATGTCAGTACAGTCATGAATGCAATCTATATATTGATTTGTTTTAAAAAGCAAATATTGTGTACAATTGTTAACACTATGTAAATTCTTTTAAAATTACTGGCAAACAATTTTGTAAATAAATACTACATACTAACAAGTCATTTCCAAGTTGTAAATAAAGTATTAAATATTAATGAAATATTAATGAAACAAATACAACGCATGAAAGTTACATAACTTTATAATTATTTCAATAAATTATTTCAATCTGAATTTATACAATCATCATTTACACAACCCAAACTATTCACTTTATGGCTTTACTATAAATAGTGCTAACAAAAACAGTTGCATTATAAAAAAAAATAATAATAATAATAAAATAAAAAATCAAATTATCCAATTTACACTGGTATAAAATTTAAGCATTCAAAAAAGTATGGGTCAGTTATATAGGGTTCCTTGAATATTCCATATTAAACTCGGCTTGTGCTGAATAAACCTTACATATTTCGAGCTTCAGTTATCAAAATGGCACATATAAGTCCTTAATCAGTTATGCAGCAAATAGTAAGGGGTGGGGTATGAAAACTGCAGAGCACTAAAACATGCCCTGTATTATTATTAAGGCACAGAGACATAGCCCAGTGGATTTTTATATCAATTAAGATTCTTAGGAATACTACTAATGGCTTACATTTAAAACAATTACAGCTTAGCACCATTTTCTTTAAATGCTGAACATCGCTTACTAATTGGCATAATCAAAATTAGTTTTCTCTGATATACTTTAGTATTTTAATTGAACTTGAAAAGGATGAATCAGTTAAAAATTTACGAATTCATTATAAGATTTGCATATTGTTAATAAAACCACAAGACATAATTAAGTAACAAAAAATAAATAAATAATAATATTAACAAATTCATAAAGAAAAAGAAAAAGTTTTGAGTTCAGTTGAATGATTCACAACCCCACTCCTTACTCCTGAACACAACAATAGAGAATTACTGTTGCAAAGCATGTTATCACCTCAGAAAAAATGCACTCTTTCAATTTTCAAGAATTTCTACTTCAAATTCACGTACAGTGGGAAACCATAAAACACAAAAGATTGCATATTCCTCTTTGTATGATAACAAGGAAAACTTTCAAAGAAATCAAATATATAGCTGTGGTATATTATCCCAACAGCTATTTAACAAAGGCTTTGGTTTCAACAAAACAAGGGATTCTCTTATCTACAGCTTACCTAAGTTTGCATGACAAAATGAATAATTTTAAAGTAAAAAAAAAAAGGGATAAAGGACATTTCCTCTTAAGTAGGTAGAAAACACTGACTTTTTTATTTGTCTTACACAATTGCACATATTTTATGGCTCCATCATTATAATTTCATTTACGAATGAGAAGAGGAATTTACAGAGGACAAAATGACTAACAATATCCCTGCTCATGAGGCATAAGCAACAAGTGACTCTAGGAACCCAACAATAAAACTTTACCACCTGCGAGACATTATAAGCTGTAGAAACACAATATGTGCTAATTTTGAGCACCTCTACTGGAACAATTACAAGACGAGACACTTGGCCAAAGACAAAGGAAAATGTAAGGGAGTCTTTTGGAAGCAATGAAGCTACATGATCAGGGTTACAGGAACAAAGAAAAAAAAATATACATAGTAATAAATCAAAACCATTGAATATACAATTTTCTTCTAAAAATATCTGAAAATAGTAATAGCATAAAATACCCTTCATTCAACATTTGGCTCTGTTAACTCAGAAGAAACCAGGTGTGTGCCTCTGCTCCAAGTTCTTCTCATCATAGTTGAGAAGCATTAGTCTAACACAAATACAGAATTAATAAATAGTAGTTTAAATCACCAAATAGTCCTGGGTATAAAATTCATACCAAGGAATAATGGAAGGAAGTGAAGAGTTGAGCCCAAATTCTGAAACATCAAGTCAGGTCAAATCATGGTAATGGAGCAAGCTAGCCTGACCAACACTGACAATATGGCTTACTGCAGACCCCTCTGTCTCTCTTTTTGGAGGTCCTCAAACAAACTTGAAGCTTCAAAATTTGGGCTAAAAGAGGCTGCAGTTGTAATTCACTGCAACAATAACCTGATGGACATGTTCAACCTATTGATTATAGAAGATAAAGCTACACTCAACCTCACTAGTGGGTGTTAATAAGCGGACACTGCATAGGAACTACTCTGAGCCAAATAAGTAAAATTACTGTTTAAAAATGATCATAAAAAATAAAAAATAATCAACAATGAAACTTATAATATTAATGATTATATAAACAAAAATAGTGATACAGATGATGATGATAGTAGTACTGATCAATAAAATCTGCCAGCAACTTCAGCTGAGCCGGTGCATCAAACATTTTTGATTCAGAAATTCCTGCAACACCAAGAATGTACTGAATCATTTGGTTTTATCTATCTACCTACTTTTGTAAGGAAACAAGTATTATATATTGTACAATTTTGTACAGATAGTTTGCAGCAAGATTTTCCCTTCCCACATTAATTGGATTCAGGTAATGACTGCCTATTAAATATTCTTATATTTAATGTTAACAATCACATCCGAGATCACAATAATTGAAGGGTTATCATTAGTAATGTGATGCTGATGAGGTCCTGTTAGCTAGTTAAGTTGGGGCAACAGAACAAGGGTACTAGCATCCTAGAGGGTAGTGAACATACAACAACCAGTAATGAGGATATTAATGGAAGAAGTTGGCTAGGCTTAGGCTGGGTCAGCTGGTTGGTTACTACTGAGCAATGGACTTGTGACAGTCCTTAAAACACACTATATATACCCCACTCACTTGGGTCACATGACTATAAACAATCAATGCACCACAGTCACTGGTCTCTTGAGAAACAGCCTTAAAGATAAGGATAGAGTACAACCTTTCTCAAGAATGTTTGCCACACGGCTGAAATATTAAGATGCTCATCGAGCCATACTCATCATTGGGGTGTACCAAGTAGGGAGATGCTTGAGCAAGAAGTGCTTTGGGCACATCTAGCTTGCAAGAAGACTCTCCTCTTATCTTAGTAACTGACTATAATGTGATGTAAGGAAATTTACAAAGGTATGAGTGAAAACGCTTCACAATTCACACAGACATCACCAACTTTGTGTATGAGAAGGACTCAGTTCTGGTAGCTTCTGCAATCTACACTTCGTCTGGGGCCATGTCACAATTGTTGTTGACCGTATTTGCAGAGAGAGTGCTTGGGGCCTGGCAAAATATGGGTGTGTTAGTTGGATTGTTAGAAAATAGAAAGAAAAAATCAATTAATTCATTCACATATATGCAATAGCAAAGGCATACATTCAAGAAACTATGCATATAAAATTTATACAGTTTGAAATAAAATAAAGCTGTTAATTATACTATTTTCACCACTAACAGTGCAGTGAAGGAAATTCTGTACATGAGCATGTATATATTATATATATATAAACATATGCCATACTATTTGTGGCAAATTGAAAACCTGCAATATTTCATAAACATCACTTACGACGAAGAAAAATTTTAAAAGGATAATAAAAAGTAAGGTTTGGTATCATGACATATTATCTGGGGTAAAGGTACACTGCAAACACATCAACAGGTCATGGTGTTTGCCACAGTTCATGCCAGGTTGAATGGACCAACATGAAAGACTTCCTGAGACATGATACAAAGACACATGGCAAGCATGGTGATGGGTGGAGATCCGGGCTCATGCAAAATGCACTGAGACCCGTACTTACATGCACCATGTGACCTTGCACAGGCCGCTTCCTCACTGTGTGAATTTTGTAACATGAAGTGACAGGCACCATCTCCTGTTGGTGAACAGATAGGGGGCATAAACCCAAGAACAGGCTTGGTGGAACACTAGGGAACATCCATGACTACTTTATCACTGTATTATTCTTAGTTTTATGTTTGTTCTTCTAATATATTTTAGTGACTTCCCTGGTTTATTCAAATAATGCTAATGATAATAGCCTGACTGCCACCTCCATATAAAATGGATAAAAAAATCTCCTATGGATAAAAAATAATATAAAGAAAACCCACATGAGATTGTTTTTCTATTTTTAATATGCAATGAACCAAACCAATATTTTTATTCAAAAAATTTATTCTAAAAATTCACTGAAATTGTAATGCCAAACTGTAAGAAATTTTCCATACTTTAATGAAAACAAAAAACAAAATACTATTTTTGGGAAAATCAATAATTATCAATAAAAATGGTGGATATTCAGTTGAATACCAAAATGTCCATAGTCTACAGATAAAAAACAGTCTTGCTGCATCAGTCAAAAGTACTCTCAATCGGGCATTATTAAAGACAGAGGGAAGAGAAAAACTTTAAGTATCAAACATACGCAATCATGCATTCCACATGCACACAGAAACACACTTGCACATAAAGACACCAATAAATAAAATATGTGCATTTTTTTTTTCTCCTTTTTTTTACTCATCATCACATTCACATTCACCCCATACTTGCACTCTTACTCTCACTCTCACTCTCATTCTCACTCTTTCTCTTTCTAACTCGCACTTCTCATTCTCATTCTCACTCTTTCTCATTCTCATTCTCACTCTTTCTCATTCTCATTCTCACTTTCCTCATTTCTCATTCTCACTTCTCTTCTCATTCTCATTCTCATTTCTCTTTCTCATTCATTCTCACTCTTTCTCATTCTCATTCTCACTCTTTCTCATTCTCATTCTCACTCTTTCTCATTCTCATTCTCACTCTTTCTCATTCTCATTCTCACTCTTTCTCATTCTCATCTTTCTCATTCTCACTCTTTCTCTTTCTCATTCTCACTCTTTCTCTTTCTCATTCTCACTCTTTCTCATTCTCACTCTTTCTCATTCTCATTCTCATCTTTCTCATTCTCATTCTCACTCTTTCTCATTCTCATTCTCACTCTTTCTCATTCTCTCACTCTTTCTCATTCTCATTCTCACTCTCTTCTCATTCTCATTCTCACTCTTTCTCATTCTCATTCTCACTCTTTCTCATTCTATTCTCACTCTTTCTCATTCTCTCTTTCTCATTCTCATTCTTTCTCTTCTCATTCTCACTCTTTCTCATTCTCACTCTCTCATTCTCATTCTTTCTCATTCTCATTCTCACTCTTTCTCATTCTCATTCTCACTCTTTCTCATTCTCATCTCTCACTCTTTCTCATTCTCATTCTCACTCTTTCTCTTTCTCATTCTCACTCTCTCTCTTTCATTCTCATTCTCACTCTTTCTCATTCTCTCTTTCTCTTCTCATTCTCACTCTTTCTCATCTCATTCTCACTCTTCTCTTTCTCATTCTCACTCTCTTCTTTCTCATTCTCATTCTCACTCTTTCTCATTCTCACTCTTTCTCTTTCTCATTCTCACTCTTTCGCTTTCTCATTCTCATTCTCACTCTTTCTCATTCTCTTCTCATTCTCATTCTCTCTTCTCATTCTCATTCTCACTCTTTCTCATTCTCACTCTTTCTCATTCTCATTTCTACTCTTCTCATTCTCATTCTCACTCTTTCTCATTCTCATTCTCACTCTTTCTCATTCTCATTCTCATCTCACTCTTTCTCATTCTCACTCTTTCTCATTCTCATTCTCACTCTTTCTCATTCTCATTCTTTCTCATCTCACTCTTTCTCATTCTCACTCTTTCTCATTCTCACTCTTTCTCATTCTCATTCTCACTCTCACCCTCACTCACCCTCACTCTCTTTCTCACTCTCACTCTCATTTCTCACTCTCACTCAAGCACTTATAAAACAAGCCAAGTCACTACATCACTGCACCGCACTCTAGATTAAAATTTACTTCTAAAAATAATAGTGATCATATGTAGGTAAAAAATAATAAAAAGAAAATCTCGACTTTTTACCACTAGAACCACTTTTAGTAGTTAACGCAGCAGAAAGCATATAAAATAGCAGGTAGGAGACCTGTATTTTGTATTAAAAAAAAGCATCTGATATTAATATTTTGCCAAGTTAATTTGCATTACCCATTTATAAGCAACAACTCTTACAGGGATCATATTAGTAGCGCTTGTGTTTACAAAGGTTGAGTTTCTCCATATTTTGTTTATATTAGTTGCATAAAATTACAGATGAATTAGTCACACAAGGTTGTAAATGTATAACTCAACAACCCTGTTGTAAGATTTATTTCTGAGCCTGTCTTGTATATCCTAGTTTTTATTTATCTTATTATTATTATTTTTTACCATGTAATGAAATGCCTCTACTATTTTCAACCTATAACCCTGAAAGTCCTCTGTTGCTGTATCCAAAACAAATCAGTGTTACATTTTACCTTTACCGGGGTTAAGATCTAATCTTGTACATCCATATAAGCCGAAACTGTTATATGAGCAATATAAGTTTATAGTGTAACTGATAAATTAATGGATTTTTAAACCAACACAAAAAATTACACCACTATTAATCATCAATATTAACAACTGGACAGCATCTAGAACAAAAAATCCAATTTAATCTTTGATTCAATTCAGTAAAGCAACAAAGAGAAAGAAAGGTAAGATTTAACCATCACACACCATCAAATTCTTAAAAAGGATGAACTGTATGTTTCAGGAATGCTTTTTAAAGAAGCCTAGAAAACTGACACAAAATCAATTATTTACAAATATATCAGAGTATCCAGCCAAAATCTTCGTAAGGTAATAGCTTATTCCAAATAATTAGAACGATTTCCGATTTTTGTCTAAGCTCATTATTTAAAGCACCCACTTAGTGCTGTATTGCTGTACACATAATAATGTGTATATCCTTACCTATGAAAAAGTTTAATCTAGATGCTAACACCTGCCACTCTGACAAGACACATTACTTGATCATAGCATAATCTCAACTGAAGAGATCTCAGCACCAAATAACTACTGCAATCCTATGCAAATTCTAAATACCATACTACTCCTAAATATAATTTTTTTTCCCCTACTTTAACAACTCTATCCTCAGTATTTCATTCATGTTCTTCCCAGACAAAATGCTTTTATACCTAATGTGGGAACTGAAACTGGGCATTACGTAAATTACGTATATGTACACACAGAGGAAAAAGGCTGCCCCATTTTAAGTTGTTAAAAAGATCACATAATAAACATGTGAAGATTTACAAATCAATTTACAGAACTAGTAGCACAAGATGATTATAATCTCAGCATGGCATACATTTTTTGAATACCAGTATCTCCATTTTTGTTAGAAAATCCTACAAATTCTAGTAAAACTATAATGCCTTCTAAAATCACTTTACCTACTAGATTATTTGATTTTACCCACAACCAAAATCTGATGCTCTTGAAAAATGCACTATTCTTTCCAGCAAAAGTACCAAATTCCTGCTGACAAAGCTTTCTTCTATGTTCTACTAATGAAAAAATATCAATAACAAGGTAAAACCTAAAATACTGATAACATACTTGAGGAATAGATATCACACTGACTAGTATCAGTCTCCAAGGAGGGCTATTATATGAACTAATATATACTGTACTTGATGTACTCTTGTTTATAAAGAAATGTAAAACAAAATAAGTACACTAAAAAAGCTATGCAGCCTAGAGGCATTCATATACTAAAGAATATACCAATATTAAAAAGGGGGGGGAGGGAAATCAACTAACACTAACTGCAGCCTACATGGCCAAGTCCTGAATCAACAAGATAACACAATTGGTGCAGAAGCACATCCATGTTCTGTGTAAACACAAAAACTTCACTAGGCTTTCTCCTAAAGGACAAGGATTCAAACAACGTGCAGTATTTTGTATTTTCAGAGGAAAGGAGAGAAAAAAGCTACTAAAAATGTTTCATGCTGACTTTACAAGAGCACACTCTGCCAACAGTAATAGACAGAATAGTTTAAAATATATCTGAATCTAAGACTCCAAGCTTTTTGTTGAAATGTTTGCTTTTCTTTTGTATTCATAATTTCCTTTTAAGAAAATTACAAGCATTCTCACTTTCTGAATTTCTTATCCAATTTACGAACATTGCACATATTTTTCTTTATTTCACAGCCAATAATACAGTGAAACCTACTCTCAAAGCAAATATGAAAAAAATAGAATAGCTTTAAAAGAGGGAGATAATAAAAAAATGTTAATAAGGAAACAAAATCCAGTGTGTTCATAACCAAATTAATCAAATATCAACAATCTGCTTGACCCTTATTCATGCAAGCAAATGACAAACAACCCCTTCAACACATGGTTCAGATGGACAGGCAAGACTCGAAGTCACCAGAGTAAGGTATCGCTTACCTATGTCACTATTCCAATTTTTGACCTCCTATTTGTTTCTTAACGTTCTTAGTGTGCACTTTTTTAACCTGGAATATATTTTTATGTCAATTGCAAGTCAACTGAGGATAGGGTTTGACATGTTTCCATGTAAGAAAAGGGCACTACTATCTGGAGTTCCATACATCAGAGGCAATAATGTTGATAGCCAATGAGCATTGTGTGTGTTACAAAATTTCTATTTGTTTAAGTTAAAGGGTAAAACAAAAAATTAAAAAATCATAGGTATAAAACAGATAAAGGAATCATATCTGCCTCACAAAAATAAAAAAAAACAGTCTGTTCTCTCAATAAACTGCTTATTCTATGCTGGATTACACAAATCAAGCATCATTTGACATGCATGATAAAGGGAAGACCAAATCATCCATGCTTAATATGCTACTTGGCCGAACACATTCATTTTTCTTAAGACGGATGGCCAAAACTTTTTTAAAAATAACATGCTGACCACACCGGGCCACAATACTGCTGTCCAAGCTAAACAGCTTTTCTATCATCTTTTTCCATTTTCTTCATTACTATTGTTGAGCAATAAATACTAGTTAAACTTTCCCATTTGCTGACTACCTACTATCATTTGTTTCAAAAGCAAGTAATGTTTTTGCAAATAATGGAATGGTCCATGCCCTTTTACTTTTCTTTGAAAAATGCAATTTCCTTTTAAATTTTTGAGTGCATTTTCTACAGTTGAAGAAGAGTTCTCATTCAATTTATTCTATTTCTTAACCCACACAAAAAAACTTTCCCACACTACACACCAGACTTTGTGCAGAATCAGCCATCTGGCTGTTTCATATGCAATTGTTTGGGATATGAGGCTAAAAAGAGGCTCTAAGCACACTTTTGTAAGATTAGAGCAGACTCAGCAACATATGACATGACTGGATATCACCTAGAGTAACAGTTTTGAGATGAAGTAATAAGTCTTCAACTGGTGTGAGTGGGTTATGAAATACTAAAATCATCTTAATGTTATACTGAAATCATCTTAAGCATAATTGTATTTCTAGTATCTACTTTGCATATAAACTAGTTCAATTATAGTTTTCTTTGTCTTCTAGCAAAATGGATTTTACTGGCATGCTACAATCTCAGCAATAAATAAAAATGGAATCAATATCCTAACACTTCAAGGGGAGACACATGACACATGCTTCTTCAACCATTTCTACTCTTTTTATACCATATGATATAATGTGCTAATAACATTAAAAGCACCAAACTTTATGCAATTACATCCTTTCACATCACAGTCAAGATATCACAGCTTGATCAAACTGGTGTCCCCTGCCCATGAATCCCTGTGCTTGTGATTTTAAAGGAATATTCCCCTTTCGTATGAGCACACAAACAATCCTCCTTTTGTATCTCCAACCACTCATCTTTCCAACCACCTGAAGCCATGAAATATATCCAATGGTCTAAAACCGAAGTGAGCATACACTTATTTCCTAATATAAATACTATACTAATACTCAACATCAACAAAAGGTGTGGCAAACACGAGGATAATATTAAACAAGGAAAGTTTTGAGCCATTTTGCAACCTAAAAGCAAAATCTAAGAAGAATGAGATGCTATGAACTTGGATCTAGATCTATTACCAAGATTTTTCTCACTTTGGTCAGAAGGGTCTATGGGTAAGAACTACCTATGATGGAGACAACTGCATGATAGAATGAAATGTGTAAAATGAAAGGTAATGAAAATCAACACAAGATCTCAGTTCTCTTAGAGATATACTCTAAAAATGAGAAAACAAAGAACTTAAAACAAATTTCTATTTCAGCATAATACTAATTCTGCTATCAACAGAGAAAATAATGTGGGTCAGTATGTCAGTAGAATAGCACAGAATTTGCTTTCATTTTTCTAGAGAGAACTACTGTTTCAGGACAAAAACAAAAATAACAAAAAAGCAACAAAAAACAAGGGAACAGAAGAGAGTGGAAAAATATCATGTTGCTCTGCTTGATATGTGTGTAGAAAAAAACATGCCACACATTGGTGCATCTTAAATTTCATCCCAAAATACCATGCAAGTAATAATAAAATAATAATGAAAATACAGTGCCTATGGAAGAGCAATTGTCTTGTATGGATATAATACCTGCTGGTGAGAGAGAGAGAAAACACATAGAGAGCAATGCAATATTAGTAGTGTAACAAAAGTGAAATAAAGATATCAACTACCTGTACTCTTGGTTAGTCCTGTATACAGACAAATTTGAGAGAGAATATTAATCAAAACAGAGTTATGAGTATGTAAGTACATAGTTTTTTTCTGAGTTTATCATTATCATGTTTTTCTCTAATTGGAAACAAAAATAGTGACAAAAGAACTGCTTGTCTCATTCCCAAAATATTATTCACAGTGTTGTTCTGAAGCATGGCTGACTAATTAGGAGATGTTATTGATCTGTGGCTGATAATTTTGACTAACTCACCTTGTATTCACTCATTTGATTTTTCCTCTTAGAAAATATCACCACTACAGCTCCATGATCCTCAATTTTTTATAGTTTTTTCAAACTATTGTAACCATATATTTCATGTAGTTGTGACCCTCTAATGAATAGTGAATGATATTTACTATACACTACTATTTTCTCTAATGATCCTTGGTAGAGGATTTAACAGGGTTTAGTGTGAATATACAGTTTTCCATACGAAATCTAGCCAACATGTATCTAAAATGCACACTTTTATGCCGGTCATCCAGACCACAGAAAATTGACTTATGTACACTGGAATCCAA